ACCCCGTCACCCGGCAGAAAGCACTGTGACAGAATAGCCAGGCAGACCCGAATGTTCTAAGAGAAAGGGCACCTAAGGATGAATCAAAACAGGTGGTCCAGATGGTTCATAAAATGCAAACATCACAATACCAGGAAGGCCTGGAGAGATACACTATTTTTTAAAAACCAAATGTTTAATATTTTTACTAAATGGTGTCAATATAACTTTAAGCAAATGCCAAATGGAAGCCCAGGAATTCATGGAGGAAACAATCTCCCAGACCAGAAGCACCAAGGCGGCCTTGGCCTCCTGCCTCGCCATCAGTGTCTCTGGCGGTGCCAGGCAGCCATGTGTCCAGGTTACTGCAAGTTCACCACGTTGTTTGCTATGCTCCAGGCAGGTTCAGCTGCTGGAGTCAGTCCACTGACTGAAACCAACAAAGGCTAGACAACCAGTTCCTTCGAAAGGTTGCAAATACCACCCTTTGGGACATTGGTGCCTGTGGTTTTTTCTCCCTGGGCCTCCTGATTTCTCAGTACTGTGACTGAAGACATGGGATTCGGGCCAGCGGTGTCAGCTGGTGTAGACGGAATGACCTCCACAACACCCGCAAAGGCACCAACGCAGTAGGAGTCCGTCCCACTCAGTGTCGGTGAACATCCGTTAACTACCTGGCCAACTGTACTCTGTGCCACCACCTCCGGGGGTAAGAGCTCTGCATCACTGAACAGGGAATAACACATACAGCGCCGTGAGGAGTGCGCAGCTTCTTCAGTCACCAATTTATTAGAACCAAGAACAATTGTAACTTTTTTCCAGGGTTTTCACAGCCTGTGATCTTGAGCAGTTTGCCAGAACCATTTAAATCTCTTCAGTTAAATCAGCCAAACCCAGCAGGCCAGCGGTGATTTGGTCAATATGAGCAACTGGCTTGGTTCTGTAGAACCAAACTAAAATGGAGTCACTTATGTCAGGGACAAAAGAGAGAATCAACACAGGCTCATGAAGGAAACTTAACCTAACCTCACTCTTCTCAGAAATCAGCAGAGGATTCCAGCCAACCCCCAAATACCAAGTCTGTTTATCTCTGAAATTTCCTGTTCCTGTCACTCAGCTGTCTTGATCCAAAACAGGTATAAAGACCCCTAGGCAACCAATCAACTGACAAAGCCAAATAACTTCCACATTTACCCATAAAATAACGTTTATTTTTCAAAGAAAAAATGGCAACAGCCAATTAGAAACCTACTTATTTTTCAACTCCAATTTTGTTTTCTTTAAATTTAGAAATGACTTACTGATTTACTGTTTTAAACAACCCCCACCACCTTTTCCCATTTATTTTTTAATCCACACCTGAGGATATTTTCCCATTGATTTTCAGATGAGGTGGGGAGAGGGAGGGAAACATCAATGTGAGAGAGACGCACTGATTGGTTGCCTCCCGAACAACCCCAACCAGGGCCAGGGATTGAACTGCAACCCAGGTACATGCCCTTGACCAGAGTCAAACCCGAGACTCTTTGGTCTTCGGGCTGAAACTCTAACCGCTGAACCAAACTGGCCAGGACCGTTTTTCCCTTTAAATGTTTACCATCTACTCGTGTGAGTCCTTCTAAGGACGTTGCTCCAGCATATATCTCCAGGTCGCCAAAAAATGCAAAAACAAAATTCCATCATGCATCTTAAGGGCTCCAATTGTCAAAAATAGGGGGAAGAAATCTTTGGAACAGCCAATTAAGTTGAATAAAAAAAGAAATCCACACAAACGAGGTTTGGTCGGGGCAGGAATCACTTCTGTGTTCCTGGTAATCTGATCCCGTTCCATGAATGCTTGTAATTCATCCTCCCTGTCCTAACCATGTTATAATTTGAATCCAGTGATCCAGCTCCAAGGATTGGGATCCAGTCAGCCCTCTCCAATCCAAACCTTTATAACCAGCAAAACCGAAAAAGAGGAGGCAAAATGTCAGATACTGTGATCAAAAAGTTTTCTGGGGAATGATGAGTTATGTCTGTCATCAGTTTAACTGATGTACATCAATAACCATCAAATTCCCCAAAACAAGTTTCTGGTGTACTCAGTAATTATAAGACACTGAAGAAACTGAAAATACAAATAAATAATTTAAATCATTAAGATGTCTATACTATCCAAAGTGATCTACAGATTCAACACAATCTCTAGCAAAATACTAATGGCTTTTTTTTTTTTTTTCTCACAGAGCTAGAACAAATAATCCAAAAATTTATATGGAACAAAAAGACCCTAAATAGCCACAGCAATCTTGAGAAAGTACAAAGTTGGAGGGATCATACTACCCAATGTCAAACTATAGTACAAGGATATAGTAATCAAAACAGCATGGTACTGGCATAAAAACAGATATATAGCTCAATGGAACAGAAAAGAGTGCCTAGAAATAAGCCCACATGTACATGGTCAATTAATATTTGACAAAGGAGGCAAGAACATACAATGGGGTAAAGACAGTGTTGGGAAAATTGGACAGATACATGCAAAAAAAAAATTAAACTAGACCCACCTTTTTACACTATACACAAGAATAAACTCAAAATGGATTAAAGACTTAAACATTAGATGCAGATAGAAGAAAACATAGGCAGTAAAATCTTGGACATTTCTCATAGCAATATTTTTTTCTGATATATCTCCTCAGGCAAGATAAATAAAAGAAAAAAACAAATGGGACTACATCAAACTCACTCTCTCCCTCCTTCCCTCTCTCCATCCTTCCTCCCACTCTCCCTTGGCGAAAAAGAAAAAAAAAAAGGCAAAGGACCTGAATAGCCACTTATCCATACAGATTACCAACAGACTTAGAAAAAGATGCTCAAAGCCCTGCCCGGTTTGGCTTAGTGGTTAGAGAGTTGGCCTGCGGTCCAGAGAAAAAGATGCTCAACATCACTAATCACAGAAATGCAAATTATAACCACAACGAGGTATCACCTCACACTGTCAGAATGGCTATCAGTACAGTCACCAACAAGTGGTGACAAGGATGTGTGGAGAAAAGGGAACCCTCGTACACTGTTGGTGGGAATGTAGACTGGTGCAGCCACTGTGGAAAGCAATATGATGGGTTCTTAAAAAAATTAAAAATGAAACTGCCTTATGACCCAGCAGCTTATAAGGTATATATACGAAGAAACCCAAAACTAATTTGAAGGATTATTTTCACTCCCATGTTCATTGCAGCATTATTTACAATAGCCAAAACATGGAAGCAACCCAAGTGTCCATCAACAGACAACTGGATAAAGCAGATGTGGGACATACATACTATGGCTACTACTGCACCATAGAAAAGAATGACATCTTACCATTTGCGACAGCATTATGGACCTAGAGGGTATTATGCTAAGTGAAATTAGTCAGAGAACGACAAATACCATATGATTTCACTTACAAATGAATTCTAAAGAAGAAAATATAAGAACAAACAAACTAGAAACAGACTCATAGATACAGAGAATATATTGATGGTTGCCAGAGAGGAAGGGGGTTGGAAGACTGGGTGAAAAAGGTAAAGGGAGTAAGGAGGACAAATTTGTAGTCACAGAATAGTCATGGGGATGCAAAGTACAGCATAGGGAATATAGTCAATAAGATAGCAATAACTATGCACGGTGCCAGGTGGGTACTGGAAATATCGGGAGGAACACTGTAAAGTGTGATTGTCTAATCACTATGCTGTACACGTGAAACTAATGCAAAATACTGAATGTAAACTGTAATTTAGTATTTTTTCCTTAAAAAAATAACAAAATAAAAGAAAAACAAACTTATAGATACAGGGAACAAATTGATGGTTGCCAGGTGACAGGAGTGTTGGGAGGATGGATTTTAAAAAAGGGAAGAGATTAAGAAATACAAATTGCCACTTATAAAAAATAGTCAAGGGGCCCAGACAGTGTGGCTCAGTGGATTGAGAGTCCTCCCATGGACTGAGAGGTCCCCGTGGGATCCCCGTCAGGGCACAGGCCTGGGTTTTGGGCTCTATTCCCAGTAGGGGGCGTGCAGGAGGCAGCTGATCATCGATGTTTCTCTCTCAGTGGATGTTTCTATTTCTCTCTCCCTTCCTCTCTCTAAAAAAATAAAAATCAATAAAAACATTTAAAAAATAGTCAAGTACATCATAAGGAATATATATAGTCAATAATATTGTAATAACTGTATGGTGTCAGATGGGTAGGGTGAATACTTTTTAAGTTGTATAAATGTCTAATCACTATGTTGTACACCTGACACTAGTATAATACTGTATGCCAATTGTAATTGAAAAATAAAGAATTGTACATGTTGTATTTAGAGACAATAAAAAAGGAAATTGTCAAGTTACTCCTAAGAATAAAGCCTTATTGAATACCAAGGAAAACCAACTGAGTTTTTTTAAAAGATGCATAAATTTATTAAAACTTTGAAGACATTTAACAATTTATTGAAGTCAGAAATATAAATTCTTAATATTAACTCTAGAAACCTGAGCAGCTCCAGGAATTTGGTTTCAAAGGCTTTAGAAAGCATTCTTTGTAAAAGGTGTTAATATTACATTCTCTATTAGACTGATACTTGGAGCACTTTTGATATCATTTTACCATTTCCCCCCTGACCCATTGCCTTGATAAATTAGCAATAACACATGAAATTGTAGATAGATGAGAGAGTCATATTCATATTTATCTAAATGTAGCAAATAGCACCAGGTTTCCCATCTAATGAAATGCAGTGTCTTTGACAATTCTTTGGAACAATAAGCCTTTAGATTCCTATTTGTCCCCAGGCAGAGAAGAGCCACTCAATGGCCTTTGTCTTAACACCTTTGAGTGTTTGTCCGGAGTTAACACACTGGCTGAATCATCACCACAGGACTCCTTACAGGGATGCAGGTAAATATGTCTCAGAAGGTGCTTTACTCTATTCTGTTCTTTCACATCTCAAATTCACTTGGTTGGTCAAAGTCAGGCAGGTAGAAATGGGTTAAAAAGTTTGCAACTCACAATAATTTTGTCCACAAATAGGTTAAGATTGTTGCCATCAAGCATGACAGAAGAACCTGAACCAGCATTCTGCTCCAAGATACAACTGCTGGTGTGAAGGCATCACAAAAGCCATCCTAGAGGGGGAGGGAGAAGAGAATTAGATGGTTTCATAATGCAAAAAAAACCAGAAGTCAATAAAATACACAGAAGGTTCGAAATGAGAAAGTAAGATAACTCCTGGATTTTAAAAGTAAAAAAAAAAAAATACCAATAGGCAAACTGCAATTAGGAACTTTTTATGAGTTAGGATTGGTAAGAAGTAGTCCAATATGGTGGATAGAAAAAGACCCAGGGGACACTTCAGTTTGTCACTTAGAGCAGGAATATTCTATCGATTCTTTTGACTCGCTTCTTCCAAAACTCAAGAGGAAGGGAAACTACTCTTGTGCACACCTTTTTATTGTGCTTCACTTTATTACATTTCACAGGTGTTGCAGGTTTTGTTTTTGTTTTAAAACACAAATTGAAGGCAAGACACTCTACACAAAAAGATTATGCTCACTTCATTGTGGTGTTCTGGAATCAAACTCACAAGATTCCTGAGTCAGACCTGTATATCATGTTCTTTCCTGAGCAAGGAGAGATGCCATTTGGGAGGCTGTCAAATCACTAGGTTGAAAGTGATCACAGCAAGCCACTCCATTAAAAAAAGTGGAGAGAAAGGGGATTGAAGTCCAGACTCTAGCATTTTAACTGCATCTGGGAGAGTGGTGAGCATCCTGTTTATGAAATTGGAAAATTTTGGCTTCTTCATGTTAAAAGATTATTCCTTTGCCAATGTTGATTAGCTAAAAGAACAAAAACAATGCTGCAGCCCCCCCCCCCCCCCATCCCCAATCAATTTCTTTTTAAGTGCAGAGGAGCTCAGGTGGAGTTCTTAGCATTCACAGGCTTGGATGATTGAAGAATCTCACACACACACTGGGAAGAATGCAGGAGTTAAAACTTAACATCTCAAACAGTTTATACAAGGTCAAGGCTCTGATTTGGATACTACCTGTCCTCCACAAATAGAACCCAATTCATCACCACAGGTCTAACACAAAATTTTGCCAATAGGAGGCTACATTTCCTACAGTATCTTGCCTAGATCCCTGGATTTTTTTTTAATGGCTGGTTTTAATAGTTTGGCTGTATTTACTTTATAGTCTGGGTTACTTCAGTCTTTGATTCAATTCCAGTAAGGATGAGAGGAAAAAAACAGATTTAGTTCGGAACCCAAGAGGCTACCCTCTTCCGGAAGGGTGGGGCTTTACTTGACCTTTAGCTCCGTTTAGGGGCTGTAGGCCAAGGGCCTGCCCCTCTAGCCCAGCGATTTTCAACTGGTCTGCCGCAAGCACTTTTAAATCATGGACTACCTGACTATTTAGGGGCATTGACCTCTTTTCCCTTAGAATTCACCGGTTCTCAACCTGTGGGTTGCGACCCCTTTGGGGGTCAAACGGGGTCGCCTAAGAGCTTCAGAAACCACATATTTCCTATGGTCTTAGGAGCCGAAACACCGCTCCTCTATCCGTCTCCAGGCGTGTCCGCCCACTGCAGATCCGCCCACGTACAACATGAGGAACTGTATTAAAGGGTCGCAGCATTAGAAGGGTTGAGAACCACTGACTGTCAAATAAAAAAATAACAACAGCCAACACAATAGTCATCTGGTGTGAATGAATCAAAATTATACCTTTTGTCAGATCGGCAAAAAATAAAATACAGTTTTTGGTGTGCCACAGAATTTTAATAGTTTATATGTGTCATGAGATAAAAATAAAGGTTGAAAAATCTCTGCTCTAGCCTAAACCACAGAGACCAACATGAGGTACCGGATTCCTGGGTAGCTCCCACTGAGGGCTGGGTGCAGGGGGTTGGAAGTGAAGGAAGCCTAGTCAGCACCACCACTGGGCGTCAGTGCACACTCGCCAACACCTGTGGCCTCGGCTCTTCCCGGGGGTGTGGGCGGGAGAAGGGGCTGGCTTTTCATCTTAACGTTTTAGGCCGGTCCTCCCGCCTGCAGAGCTCTGCAAAGGTGCGCTTAATAGGCGGAGAAGAAAGAATTCACCCGGCCTGGACCACTCTTCTGCTGACTTTACCAGCTTGGGGATCTCGATGTGAGCCAAGCGTCCAGACCTGACGTGGGCGCACCCTAAAGCCCACAGGGCGGGCAAGACCAAAGTGTGCAAACCCAAGTCCTGCGCGGCTGCTGCTGAGTGGGTTAGCAAGAGAGCCACCTAGAAGGGCGGTTCCTACCAGCCTGACTACCCCAAGAGATAAGAAAACGGGCATCACACCAAACGTCCCAATGCTGCTGAAACGAACGCCCCAAGGGACTGACGCCCGCCGTCAGGCCCCTCTGGGTGCCAGTCGCTTGGGCCGTCCTGGGATGTCCGCCCGCACAGGGTCCCGCGCCCCGCTCACCCAGCCGTCCTCCACCTCCAGCCAGGAGCGGTGCGGCCCCGTGAGCCAATCGCACAGCAAAGTCACCAAGCTCTGGCAGTCCCGGTCAACGCTGTCATCCCATTCCTTCAGTTCCCACGTGTGGCCTGACGGCGGTCGCTCCAGCAGGATCCCCGTGAAAGTCACGAGCACCACCACGAGTCCCCAGGTGGGGACTCCGCGGTCTGGAAGTATCTCCTGCGCCGCGCGCGCCACCAGCTCGACGCGGTTCCCCCGATATCCGCGGTAGCGGGACCAGAGGAGCAGGTGACGCTGCCGGACCTGGGCGGCCACGGAGCGCAGCAGGGCGGCCTCGCGGGTGGACGGCGGCTGTGCGACGGTGCCGGGCCTGCGGGCGCAGTACTCCAGGTAGTCGGTCAGCAACCGCGCGGTGCGCAACCTCAGCGCGTCCCCCATGGCCCGGGGTCTGCCGGGGACCAGCCGGGCCGGCTTTCTAGGCCGGGGTGCGGCCCCGCCCGGGGAGGGGCTACCTGGCCCCGCCCCGCCCAGGCAGTAGCCTTTTCTAGGTCCCAAGAGGAGCCTTTAATAGAAATCCCACCTGCACCTGTGAGGCCCGAAAACTAGGCGCAGCGGTGGGCGCGCCTCCACGTAGCAGTCAGAGGCAGAGGAAGCCTCTTTCGAGGTTATTGTTCAGCTCTCAGCCTGGGGCCTAGGAACCTGGAGGGGACAGTTTGGGAAGTTGGGTAGACTTTTGCCTTTTCTTAAGAAGACGTTGACAAGGGCTACTCACACCCTCCACTGGAGGCTCACTCGAGAGGACGAGCAGCACCTCCCTACTGGATGGAAGCATCCAGGTGTGTGTGGAGATATCTTCCTTTGGGTCTGGCATAGTGGCAGGATAATTCTCTGTGGGGTGCTAGAATGCCATCATTGGCTGCATTCATTCATTCACTCACTCATTTTTATTCAGAGCCCTTGGGGGTACTCTTAGCACTGGAGATACAATTGAGAGCAACACATGTGGTCCCTGCTTTCAAGGACCCTACAGTCTAGTGATGGGACAAAGAAACAGGCCATCACAGTAGAGTTTAATTATCACTATACTAGGAGAAGCCAAAGGCATATTCAACTCTAGGTTAATGGTTGCTTCTGATCGCTACCATTCCTATATTGCTTGGAGTTCTCTTTAGTTTTTTTTTTTTTAATCCTCATCCGAGGATATTTTTCCATTACTTTTTAGAAAGAATGGAAGGGAGGGAGTGAGGGGGGGGGGGGGGGAGAGAGAGAGAGAGAGAGAGAGAGAGAGAGAGAGAGAGAGAGAGAGAGAAACATCATGTGAGAGAGACACATGGATTGGTTGCCACTCCATGACCCCAGGATTGAACCTGCAACACAGGTAAGTGACCTTGACCGGAATCGAGCCCACGACCCTTCCATCGGTGGGCCAACACTCAAACCACTGAGAAAGAGGCCAGGGCTCCCTTTACTTTTTATTGGCCAATCCCTCATTACTGCAATACCACTATAGTTAATACTTATATTAATCTTTCTCTGTTCAGATTATTCTAATTGGACACAGGCAGATACAGAATTGGTACCAGCAGTAACATTTCTGGGGGTCCAGTGGTCTGGAGCATGTTGAAATATCTCGCCCAGGGTGAAAGATGAGTTGCTGAATCTTGTATCACATACAGGAAAAAGAGGCCCAACACTTGGTAGATCATTTTGGATTTCGGAGGCAACATGTACTACATTTGAGTCTGCGACTCAACCCATCTACAGGCTGGTGTTTTAAGGAGCAGAACAAGAGAAAGGTCCGCAGAACATTCAGGGCGCAGTACAAACCGCTCTCCCGCTTGGGCCTTGTGATCTGACGGATCCAGTGATACTTGAACTGTCGAACAGAGGTACTGCATGGAGCCCCTGGCAAACATCAGTGGGAGAATTACAGTGTAGACCTCTAGGATTTGAAAGCAAATATATGTCCTCTTCTGCAGACAACTATTCTCCTTTTGAAAAGAGGCTGAATGCCTAACCAAGGGACATCAGGTGACTATGAACCTTGAGTTGCCATTATGTTATATGTTGTCTGATCTACCTAGTCACAAGGTTGGGCGTGCACAGCGGCAATCTGTCTTCAAGTGGAAACTGACTGAACTCAGGCAGGTCCACTAGGTACAAGTAAATTGCATGAGCAGATTGCTTTGCTTCTCCCTCATTCCACACCTATGGCCTTCAGTGGGTTGCTTCTGGTCAGGTGACTGAGGGGAAAAGCCTCAAGCCTCAAGCCCATGGGCTGATATTCAAGCCAGATGTGATTGTCCACTATGTCTGGGGCGAGAGATGGCTACACTGATTTATGGGCAGTTGGTGATGGTTTGGCTGGATGGTCAGAGCCTTGAAAACAAGAAGAATGGTGACAAGGAAATCTTGGAAAGAGGTGTGTTTCCGGACCCCTCTGAATGGGCACAGACCGAAGATATTTGGGTCCCATGTGAATGCCCCCAAAGGGAAGTCACTGCAGAGGAGACTCTTTAGTAATCAGGTAGATAAATTTCTGTGCTCTGTGGATGTCAGAAAGCTTCCTAGATACCATAGTGCTTGCTTATGGGCATGAATGAAGAGGCCATAGCAGCAGGGAGAGAGGGTGTGACAATGACAGAACTGTCCCTACAAAGGCTGAGCTGGCAACCAGTGAACTTTGTCAGAAGGAAATATAAATTTCTGTACATCAAATTCCCATTTGAACTGGTTTTGACATCACGGGGTTCCCTCATTAACTGAGTTAACCATTTTGACATATGCCTATGTTTTATTTGCAAAGTGAGCCATTTTACCTTTTTAAACATTGTATTTTAGCAGTAAGCACAGTTTTTCTTAGATGTGGAGTATCTTGGGGGTAAGTGACAAGTCCTCTGGCCCTTCCATTGATAACCCTTAGTAATTTATCAGTTGAACTAAACAATGAATGAATACATGAACTGCCACAGGGGATTTCTGAGGCACATGGTGCAAGGAGGTAGTTTGTAGACACACTTGATTAAAATCCTGTCTCTGCCACTTTGAAGCTGTGCAATCATGAGCAACTTATTTAACTCACCTTGTCTCACTTTCCTTACTTCATAAAGGGAGGTGAAAACAACAACTGCATCTTTAGGCTGCTACAAGGATTAGATGAGTCAGTGTGTGCGAAGTGCTAAGCACAGAGCTGGAGCGTCGTAAAAGCTCTTTACAGAGAAGCTTTTATTAGTATGAATGAACCGGGTTACCATGCTCACCTGACCCACTTTTAACCAAAAAGTGACATTTTGTGTACCTACATAGTTTCTTTTTAAAAAAGATTGAAAATAGCTAGAGATTGACTGCCTATTTTTATATTGGATTTATATAAAATATATATCACCATATACATATTTTAAAAGCTTTATTATAATTCACATACCATAAAATTCACCCTTTTAAAGTATATAGTTCAGTGGTCTCTAGTATATTCACAGAGTTTCTTTACCATCACCACTATCTAATTTTATTACCTCAAAGGAAATATCATATCCATCAGCAGTCACTCGCCACTGGTCCCACTGCTTTCTGTCTTTGTGGGTCTTCCCATTCTGGACATTTCATATCAACGGAATCATATAGTATGTGGCCCTTTGTGTCTGGCTTCTTTCATGTAGCATAATGTTTTCAAGGTCCATCTGTGTTGTAGCATGTGGCAGTACTTCATTCCTTTTTATTGCCAAATAATATTCCATTGTATGGATATACCATATTGTCGTCCACCCCTCCATTAGTTATTGAACATTTACATTGTTCCATTCTGGGCTGCTGTGAACATTTGTGTTCAAGTTTCTGTGTGGACAAATGTTTTCATTTCTCTTGGGTATAGACCTAGGAGTAGGAGGCCACCTGTTATTGGGGAGCACAGATGAAAACATTGACCTCTGCTTCATGGTTCCCGATTTATGACAAAGTTAAGTGTTCACCAGTGATGAGTTGATACGATAAACTTGGTTCAAATACAGGCATTTCCTGTTATACTCTTCACACAAATGCTCCTACCATACTTACATTTAGTTGTTCATATTTATTTAGGTGGTTAAATAATCCAGAGCATTATTCCTGATTCCCTCTCCTCACTAGAGGGTCTGCATCCTTTTTACAATGATGCAAAAACATTAATTTCATTTCTTTCACCAGAAATGGCCCCGAGTCAGCTCACTGTGGAGAATGGGCAATGCCAAAGGGCAGCCTCGCTCTAGCCAGGCCCTGTCTAGAGAATGAGGGTCCAGAGAACAGTGGCCTGACCCTCTCCTATCATAAGTGAGAGTTCAGCCTCTTGTTCTCACAAAGGATCCACAGAGATGAGATTCATCGGCGCTTTCCTCAAGTTGCCTCCGCAGAATTCCTGGCCCATCGCAGTCCTGCCCGGCCCAGGGCTCCAGCGGCCTTCAAGATGTGTTTTAACCTGTGTTGACCCAGTAGCCACGTTCGGGAAATGCAGACCTACAAATCCCTGTTCAGTCAGCTCTCCTGGACTTGGGGGAAAGCCAGGTGAAGTGATACGGTCCCTACCCCAACCTCAGTTAATCTTCTAACCTATCAGCTGGGCTTACCCAGGATCTCAAGTGTCTTCCTTTGAAAAGACGGCCAGGGGTTCACAGGCCTCAACTGGTCGCTGGCCTCTTCCATGGCCTCTCCGTGCCCCTCCAGGATCTCTTGTGTGGCCTGTGGTCATCCCAAAGTCTCCTCTGAGGGCCTATTCTCCAGCCCTCTGCCCCCTTAATACCCTCCTTTCTTCCTCCCCCTTTCCCGAGCATCATCTTTCTCAAAGTGTGGTCCCCACCCTGAGGGTCCCTGAGACCATTTCAGGGGGTCTTCTGAGGTCAAAACAATCTTCATGATAATAATGACGCTTTTTAAAGTATGTGTGACTTTTTTTTTTTTTTTATCCTCACCCAAGGATATTTTTCCTTTTTTTTTTTTTTTGTACAGATAGAGTGGGAGGGAGAGAGAGGAAGGGAGAGAGAGAGAGAAACATCGACGCAAGTGGCTGCCACCCGCACGACCAACCAGGGCCGGGGACAAACTGCAACTGAAGTACGTGCCCTTAGCGGGAACCGAACCCGGGTCTCTCCGGACCGCAGGCCGACGCTCTAACCGCTGAGCCAAACTGGCCAGGGCGTATGTGTGACTTTTTAAAGGCTCATTCTCTCAGGTTTCTAGAGGCTACAAATGTGTGATGGAAGTATCACCAGTGGAATGGGTGAGTGTGCTCTTATGTTTTACAGTTTTTCTCAGTTTCAATGACTAATGATAATATTGAGAGATAATCCACATGAACAAAAAGCCCTTTGGGTCCTCAGTTTTTAAGCACATAGAGGGATCACAAGACCAAAACTTTGAGAACCACCGGCCCAGATGGATTTCTAATTGATGATAATGACTAATCGATAGAGGAGCAGGGTCTGTTTATAGAGATGAGGAAATGGGGGGAGAGAATAGGGAGGAAGAGGGGAAGAATGGAGGAGCGGGAGGGAGAAAGGAGGAGCAAGAAAGAAGACAGGGAGGTGGGAAGAGTGAGGAGAGGGGAAGGGAAGAGGGAGAGAGAGAAGGGAGGAAGGGAACAGGAAAGGGAGAAGGGGAAGGGAGGATGGGTAGACAGACAGAGTTCAAAAGCAGGGAACTAACCCTGCTTATGATGAGCCAAAGGCTGAGCTAGGTCCATTGTATACTTCAGTGCCGTCCCATTTCATAGACCAGGAAACTGAGGCTGAGAGAAATTTGGATGTTATTGCACATCCTATAAAAGGGGTAGAGCTGGGTCTGAACTCAGGGTCACATCCTGTCACCATGCTGTTTCCCTCTAACTTACAGATGAGTCCTAAGTGTCACCGCCTTCCAGCCAGCTGGCCAAACAGCTACGAAAGCCCAGAATGCAAAGTCCTTGACAACCTGTGCTGCCATTAAGCTACTGATAATCTAGGGAAGGGTGGAGGAGCTGGGGGTGGGAAGGAAGTGGATGTGGAGTGCCTGCCGCTGGCCTCTGGCTCATCCCAGTCCAGGGCCGCCCTCCCCAGAGCAGCTGTCCTGACCAGTTCAGGCATTTCCCATCCACACCCATCCCCACCCACCTCCTCATGTGGCTCCCTGCCTCTCCCTTCTCTTCTCTGGCGGGGAGGGTGGCCAAGGCCATGCACACCTAGGGCACCTCCACTGGGCCCCTTCACCACAATCAGCTTGGTAGGTTTGGCCCTAACTCCTCTAAAAAAGGAAAAACTGGTTGAAAAACTTCAGTCAGCATTATTTTCAATATGCAAAATACAATTTATTACTTTTAGTCTACCCTGGAGTCTCCACTTAGTATAGTCTATTCCCAGCTAAGCATTTCATCAATAAATACTAAACACCCCCCACTGTGAGGTGAAATACTTACAGGGGAGGAGGCTCACTGCCCATGGGGTGAGTATTCTACAGAACAATTCATAGGGCCTTCAAGTTGCTTTTTTAATTGGAAAGTTGTGGGCGACTTTGCACATTTACTGAAGATGCGCTCTGCCTCCCCAGACACACAGCTCGAATTCGCTGCCCTTCGGTGGAGGTGACTTTTCCTTTGCCCTGTCTTCCTCCTACCGGAGGCCCAGGCCAGAACACAGAGGCATGCAGGGGACTGTGGCAGGGAGGGACGGGACACAGGAGCCCAGGCGCAAGCTCCGCAATGTTCTGGGAGTGGAGCTCGGGATTCCTGGGGCACTGTGGGGCCTGCTGCTTCAACAGCGGGCAGGAGCTGGGAGGGCCCTGAGCCCATTTCCCGAGCCCCTGCCCCATGGGACCTCTGGGGGAGGGGGAGGGGGCTGACAAATGGTCCCTCTGGACCATGTGCTCTTCTTCCCTCTGGGCTCTTAGAGGTAAGGGGGGCCTTTTATATTTCTCTCTCTCTGCACCAGGGCCTGCTGTGTAGTAAAACCCTCACAGATAATGGAATATAACCATTTTGTTTATTTTTTAAAGACTGATGAAGAAAATGGCCTGGATGACTTTTTATTATTATTTTCATCCTCACCCAAGGACATTTTTGCATTTATCTTCAGATAGAGCAGGAGGGAGAGTGAGAAGGAAAAGAGAGAGAAACATCAACATGAGAGAGACACATCGAGTGGCTGCCACCTGCACGACCAACCAGGGCCGGGGACTAACTGCAACCGAGGTACGTGCCCTTAGTGGGAACTGAACCGGGTCTCTCTGGTCCACAGACTGGTGCTCTAACCACTTAGCCACACCGGCCAGGGTGGCCTGGCTGACTTCTGACTGATCAGCCCATTATGATACCTGACCAAATGGTTTTGAGGGTGGTCCTGCCCCCCCCCCCCGAGGTTCACAGCAGTGCCAGGTCCAGGCCTAGCTGCTGGCTGTGCAGGCTCCAGCTCCGAAAGGGCCGCCCTGAGAGGCAGGCCTGGGGCTGGGCCTGCAAAGCCAGAACTACCTGGGCAAAGGGCCGGGCTGGGGCAGGGCTGAGAGGAGACCGGGAGACCCAGGGCTCAGAAGACAGCGCTCAGACGCCACAGGGCCCAGCGGGCAAGCCTCCGCCAGGAGTGCTCGTTGGTATCCGAGGGGACTTTTTACTTCCCCAGTGCATGTCATCTTCATGAGATGAATTTCTAAAACAAAGAATTAGCCTCTCTATACCTTTGAAAACAAAACGAACGAACAAAAATAAAAAAGGAAAAGGACCCCAAAGCACTTGGTATCTTCTAGAAGAAATTGCCGAATTTCAAATAAAGACAAGATATCTTTTATGTTATTTTGCTCAGTATAAGACAAAGGCATTATTGTTCAAGAACTATCAATTAATTTGCATAGGCAATTACACTCATAACACAATAAATCTGAATATAATGGATATGGACAAGGTCCACTTTAGGCTGAGGGGATTCGACTAATCCTAGTATGTCTAAGGTAAATAAGTTTACCGTCTGGTGCTCCCCCACAGAAAGGTTTTGGCTGCTCTGAGAAACAGCGTTCAGCTTTTCCCTTAAAAGAAAATGTCCTGTCCAAGTGATTCACAAACTAAACATCGGTGCTTCGTTTCTAACAGTTCACACAGAAGAAAATGTTTTATCTGAAAAAAGACAAGGTGATGCAAGACTGGGAAAGACACGTTTACAATAAAAACACATCTTTAAAAAAGTAATTCGAAGTACATTTGGAATTGGAACTTTCTTCTATCACAGATCAATTAACACGGTCCTCTGCATACAGCCCACGAAAATCAGCACTTCCAGCCCTGGCCAGTGTTGCTCAGTGGTTAGAGCACTGGCCCACATACGGGAGTCACAGGTCTGGTCAGGGGCATGTATCTGGGTTGCAGGTTCAATCCCTGGCTCAGGTTGGGGCAGGTGCAGAAGACAACCAATCGATGTCTGTCTGTCTGTCTGTCTCTCTCTCTCTGCTTCCCTCCTTCTCTTCCACTCTTTCTTAAAAAAATAAAAAAAAATCATGGGAAAAAAATATCCTCCAGTGAGGATTAACCAAAAAAAAAAAAATCAGCACTTCCCAAGGAAGGTTCCAAAAGTCACAGTGCCCAGTGAGAAAGGTCAGATTTTGAGGTGCTCTGAAACTAATGTCATTCAAGGAAGTAATATGAAATATATTAAATGCTAATTCTGTTGGTAACAGAAGGAGTTGAGATGAGTATAATTAAGAATAATCTTAAAAATGAATACATTTTACAAAGTGTTCAAAATGAGAAACGACAACACCGTACTGGAAGGTGTTCTGGTGCCGAAGCTCACAGTGGGTCCTCCCAGCAGTAACACTGGAGATGTCTGCCGGACTTCCACCATGGAGTTGATCCCTTACGCTACCTTGTGATACACTCTCAAATCCTCCAGAAGTAAGATCTATTTACATGTGATGATTTCAAATTTTAACCTCAGGTACCTAAGTGTGAGGAGTATCCTGAGGAGACTTGATTAAGCCCAGACCTGCAAAGACACAAACAAATAACTGTTAGTCCCTTAGTACTTAACAACTTGGAAAACCTGAGTTTAAAGGGATAAACTCAGTCTCTTTACACACACACAAACACGTGCACACACACATATACACACACTCAACACATCTATACACATACACACACAGACAACATCCAACATAGAGCACTTGCATGTCTTAGAGAATATAACACTTTACTCTTATCAACTCAAAGGTGCTTGTTTGGGCCTGACCCCCACCGCTCTCCCTTAGATAACTGCCTGAGGGCATCCGTGGCCCCCTACTGGGGACTGGTAACTCTTCCATTGGCAACTGAAACCATCTGCATCCACACAGCTCTCTAGGTACATTAACACCACTTTACAAATTGAGGCAACTCCTGCCCAGGAAGATGAAGTCACAAATAACTTCACTGTTTCAGGAACTTTGCAAAAATCCTTTTATCTTTTTATCCTACTGAATAGACTACTCAAGAATCCTCTTTGGAAGAGACTCACTTCTCAGAACAATACAGAGCATCAGATGACTGGTCACTGCTCAAGACCATCTTCGACACCCCGCCCCCCTAGCCTGTGTCCAGCAATCTTAAACTCTTATGCCACAAATGTGTCCAATCCTAACTAAGTCCCTCCATCAAAGATCTTAAACCCCTGAAACCTCAAGTATCTGCCTCTGCTCTCCCCTTCCAAGATGCTAAGACTGTCAAGCCTGTGATCTACCACACTGAAGCGAGCTTTGCTTTTCGAACGGGCTATTTTGGTAGTATTTCTGGGGAGCTAACATCTGACAGTCATGGAGCTTTTTGAGAAACTTTAGAAAAAAGCCATGAGGAAGACACTTTGCAAAAAAATGCACACACACAAAATCTGGCATAGAATTTCAGGGGCCTCATGCACTTCCTAAAGCCCCTCTGTGGGTTTCTCTGTGACCACAGAAGAACCCTGCACTTTTGGGAGGCAAGAACGGCAATCTGTGGTTTGTCAAAGGCTAGACTCAGAGGAATCTGACCTTTAGGGTCAAAAGGAACCTTTTCGATCACCTAGCCGAACTATTCCCTCAATTACACGCTGATACGTAGTTGTGTAATCCATGCTTGAACCCCTGTGTGGGTGGGGAACTCACTACCTCCCGGGCCACTCATTCCTTCAGTGGCTATGAGCAGAGCTGAAGTCAGAGTTCCACATGACTGTCCGGGCCTATCCTAGCTCTCTCGACTTCTGCCTTCAGGAAGGCCAATCACTCATCTTCTCACACACACACAGGGTAAAACAGAAAATCTCTTACTCTTAGGGTGTGATCCCATGATCCTGAGCAAAACGCAGTCCCATCAGGGGAAACTCGTAGAGTACTAACTCGGTTTTCATGTCCAAATAGGATGGAGACTCGCGACCCCTTGAGAACATCCCAGACGTTGATGGTATAATCATTATATCCAGCAAACAGCAGGCGGCCTGGAAGCAGGAGGATATGGTGGTTATTAAACCATCGCCCTCCTCCCTGTTCTTCTTTTCATGACCTTCACTTGCTTGCACACTTGTTCATTCGCTCACTCACACTCACTCACTCGTTCGTTTGCTCGTTCATTCAATAGACAGCGACTTAGTGCCCACTATGCGCCAGGTACTGTGCTTTGCCCTGGGGATTCATACAGGAGCACGGTTGCTGCCCCCTGTGCAGACACACAAATCATCGCAGCACCACGTGGTGCGGGCTGTAATGAAGTGCTAAGGCATGTGCAATGTGCTATTCAATCAGAGAGGAAGGATCAAGGAGGGCATTGCAGAGGAAGCAACATCCGAGTTGGCTCTTGAGAGCTGGGGACTTGGCCATGCAGAGAACGGGGAGAAGATGCTTCAGGCAGCGGCGGCAGCATGCCCGGAGGCTCAGGTGCAGAATGGGGTGTGTGTCTGGGAAACGGAATGGTCCAGGGGCCCAGCGCATCAGTGCTGCCTTAATGTTCACTAGCAGCCTCCCCGGTTGTGAGGGCAGAGGTGCCATGAGCTTTAGGGCATTGAGAAAGGGACGCTTGCTGCATCCCCTCCACTTCTGAAAAATGTCCTTTTCCAGGTATGACGGGGAGAATGGAAGGCTGGGGCGGAGACGCCTGAAGGTAGTGCACATGTGAGTATTGATCCATCACTATCTTGAAGAACAGAATTGGACGGGCACAGCCTTCCTGGTGTGAACAGGACTGGAGGAAGCCTCTGAGGGCAGGGTGAGGTGGGGGTCAAGAAGTCCAGTGGGGGAAAACTGGCACAAAAGTACACTGCTTAGCATATTGGCCTACAGGAAGTTTAGTTGAGGGGCTGCTTGGCAGAGAGCTGGATTTCACTTAGGTCCTGTTTTATAGTCCTGGGAAAGCTTCTGAAATACAATCTTACCACTGAGGGAGAAGTCCACGCTGGATGCTCCAAATATGATACTCTCCTTGGAATAGATGGCAACCTCCCTGTCTGCCCGGAGGTCGTAGAGGCGACACTGGGGTGCAAACAAACAAAGACACCTTTACTTCTGGCTCCTGGTGGTGAGGCAATGACCACAGAGCCGCGGCAGGTGCCAAGGGCTGGTGTATTTTGAGAGATTAGGGAAATGCCTCTTTTGTTTTCTCTCCTAGTATTTACCCCTCAATCCCAATTCCTACTAATCTCCACGGATCAATGAAGATTTAAAGAAACAGCAAATATAGACAATTTCTTCAGGTACAAAAACAAAACCAAAACCCATCTTTTTTTTTCTTTTTTCTGATAAATGTGTTCATTATAGAAAATTCAGAAAAACTCAGAAATGCATAGAAAATAAAAGTCACCCCAAATCCTAGAGGTATTTACTAACATCTATTTCCTTCAGTCTTATTTCTACTTTATGTGTGTATTAAAAAATAAAAGTAAAATAGGGTGGATGTTTCATTATTACTTTTGGCATTGTATTATGAGCATTTCTCATATCATTAAATAATCTTTTAAAAACCATGATTAACGTGGTTGTTGAATATTTTTCATGTAGACATATCAGAATCTATTTAGCCATCCTCTGATAAGTGTTTTGATGGTATCTAAGTTTTCTCTTTTATAATAAAATTCTAGACATTTCTGTCTCTACCATGGTGACCATTTTTATGTAAAGAATTCCTGATATTTTTCTTATGGTAGCTAAGGGATAGACTCTTTAGGATAGAATTATTTCCAAGAAATAGCATGTCCAGATCCAAGGGTAAAGATAGTCTGACAGCTCTCCTATCATATCCCAGAACTGCTTTCGGGAAGGGCTGGTACCGGTGCCGACTCTGCTTTCCCAGGCTCCTCACCAACCTCCTCCACCACTGGGCATTTCTCCAGCGGCTGGGCGTCTGCCCACCTACACGTGCATTTCTCGGATTAGCAGTAACTGAAAATATTTTCCGTTTATTTGCCGTTTTGGATGTATTGCTCTGTAAATGGTCTGAATTATATCTTTCTTTAAAATTGGGGTCTTTATCTTACTGATTATGCAACCCCACTTCTACCTAAAGGATTTCAACTTGGTCTGTCATATATGTAGCAAGGATTTTCCCAAAATGTATGCACTTACATTTTGTTATATATTTTTTGACATACACAAGTTTTAAATTTTCATTATTATCAAAGCTCTGAATCTATTCCTTTGCAATTTCTTCCATAGTAGTAAATCAGAATGAAAACTATTATTTAATAAGTTATTTGATATTTTCAGGGCACAAGAAGGTATTTTTTTCTTTTAAAAAAATCAGTTAATGTAATTTTTCAATTAGTATCAAAAGCCTTAAAACTAGGCCTATTTTGCCTGGCTGATGTGGTTCAGTGGTTAAGTGTCAACCCATGAACCAAGAGGTCGCTAGTTTGATTCCCAGTCAGGGCACATGCCCAGGTTGTGGGCCTGATCCCCAGTGGGGAGCATGCAGGAGGCGGCCAATCGATGTTTTCTCTCATTGATGTTTCTATCTCTCTCTCCCTCTCCCTTCCTCTCTCTAAAAAAAAAGAAAAGAAAAAGAAATCAATAAAGGAAAAAAAAAAAAACAATTAAAAAAAAACAAAACTAGACCTATTTTTCACTCAGTACGTTCATCTCTGAGAATTAACTCTAAGGAAATAATGAAAACCTAAATGTCCAAAAATTGAAGACTGGTTAAGTAAATGACAGCGTGTCTACAACATGGGAAACTATTCAATCATTAAGAAAATATGACATAGAAAAATATTTATTGGCCTGAGAAAATGTTCACAATCTATTACTAAGTGAAAAAAGCAAATTATAAAGCATTTTGTTAAAAAAAAAGAGCAGAGACAGAAAGGAATTTGCCCAACTGTAATTTTTGTTGGGTAGGAAGGTTAAGGTAATTAAATTCCCCCCAAGTTTTCTTCATTAAGCACACAAATTTTTTTATAATCAGAAAAAAGTTATTTTTAAAAAATAAAATGAGAGCATCTCTCTCTTTTAAACAGGAAAAGCTCTCAGTAACTGAGAAACATACCGTAGCATCATCAGATCCTGAGGCAAAGGCATCTCCACTTGGGTAGTATCTGCAGAGAGGAAGTTTGGGGAGAAAGCACTTTATTTAGAGTGGGGACTCCCAATCCTGGTTGCCCATGAAGACCATCAGGGAGGGCTGTCCCATGCTAGGTCCTTGGAATCAGGGTCTCCACTTCTAGGGACATAGGAACCACTTGTTACAGGGGCCAGAAAGGGAAGCTCCGTTGGCCTGCGGTCCACAGAGACCCGGGTTCGGTTCCCGCTAAGGGCATGTACTTTGGCTGCAGTCTGTCCCCGGCCCTGGTCAGGTCGTGCGGGTGGCGGCCACTCGATGTGTCCTTTCACGTCGATGTTTCTCTCTCTCTCTCTTCCTCTCTCTCCCTCTTCCTCTCTCTCCCTCTTCCTCTCTCTCCCTCTCACTCTATCTGAACAAAATATCAAAACATGTCCTCGGGTGAGGATAAAAGAAAAAGAAACAAAAAGAAAGGGAAGCTCATCCAGCAGACCCGCTGGCTTCGTTTTCTTCCCTGTAAACGAGGGACAGTGACCTTGGCCTTGCAGTGCTGGTGAGGAGTCAATGAGATAAAACGGGCATCTGCACTGGCACAGAACACAGAGCAGGTCCCTTTCCCGGAGTCTTCCCTGACCACATACCTCATTCCCAACACTTGGCCCCGAGCTCAGGGATATGAAAGTGGCTATAAATGCAGACACTGAAGTCAGATACCCAGAGCCACAGACAGATCTCTGCACGGACCACTTCCTACACGGGACACTGGTGGCAAGTGACTTCACCTTGCCCAGCTCAGTGTCCTCCTCTGACAGTGAGGGTGACAGTGCACATTCCCTGTTGTCAAGAGGAAGTAAGACAGTATATGCCATGGGTGTGGCAAGGTGCCGAATAAAAAGCATCCAATAAGTAACGATTACTTCTGTCACAGCTGTTCTCTTTTCCACAGTGGGCTTGCTGGAGGGGGAGGCCTACGCTGAGACCTGAGGGGACACTGCCGGCAGAGGAAGAGGGTCAGGGTACAGGGTGGGTGGGAGAACGTGCATTTTAAAGCGGTATTTCATGAATACATAGGGTTTAATTTACTTTTGTGGACATTCTATTCTGCACCTTAGTAACTTTGTTTACTCTCTAGTAAATTCTGGATTGATTTCTTTGATTTTCTAGGTAATTGCTGCCCATTTGCAAAAAAGTGATGGCCTTTTTCCTTATCCCATATTTGAGGGCAGGAAGCTAGACAGTTCTTACTAACATTTCTGCTACTAAAATAAGTCTCCTTTTGTTCTTGCTTTTAAGGGGAACAGGTCTAGTGTTGCCCACTAAGTATGACAAAGACTCTCGGGTGATTACATTGTATATACTGTCCGAATGGTGCCATCTTCCAATCTACTTGCCAGGTCCTGACCTCTCTCTTGTGACCCAGTTCATAGATCTGCATATCGGTTGGCCCTTTTCATGTCACCCTGTGGCACTGGGGCTCAGGTAACCGGCACAGAAATACTGACACTCTGGCTAGTGCCATTGTTCCGAGTAACAACCTGTCCTTCAACTCTAACTCAGGAGTCTCGTGTCTTCTAGCTACCAGCACCCACGGACTTGTGGTAGTCTAACTTGATAGCCTGCAGGCTGGGTAAAACCTCAGAACAGTCCCAATTCTAGATATCTCTGTCTCTACTATGTTTTCTTAGTTCCGGCCACCATCCCTTCTTTCTTGAGCTCATGCACTACCTTCTTTCTACCTGGCTGTCACACTTCCGTTCTTGCTCCCCTACCACCTTTTCTCCGCACAGCAGCCAGAGCGATGGTGGCCACACCTCTCCCCCAACTCAACAATCTGGCCTTCTGTCAGGTCCCTGAACATCTCATCTTCCCCCAACTCTTTGTAAGCTGCTCTTGTATCATCCTGGTCTTAACTTTAATATCATCTCCTCAGAGAGGCCTTCCCTGCCCATTCTAAGAAATAACCCATCCCATTACATCTCCTCATTTTAATTTATTCATAGCATTTGTACATGTACATGTGCATGTACTTGTGCATTGTCTCTTCTCCTGCAGGAAAAGTCGAGACCTTGTCTATCTTGTTCACAACTGTATTCCCAGTTCCTGGAATAATGGCTAGCATACAAGTACTCAATACATATTTGCTGAATGAAAGAACGAGAAATACTCAATAGGGAGGATACTATCAATGCCCCTAGTACAATTATATTAGGTCTCCAAGAGATCTGGAGTGCTCAGCACCCCCCCCCCCCCTGTCTTGCTGGGAGACCTCTCCCAGCCAAGCAAACTAAGCCTGGGGCTGGATCCTGGGCTAAGTATCACCCCAGGCCAGGGAGCACCGGAGAACAGGAGTAACGCGAACATCCTACTCACTGACCGGACACTGTTGATGTCTGATTCGTGTGTTTCAAAGGCCTGCACACACTGGCCGGAGCGCATGTCCCACACCATGGCTTTCTTGTCACATCCCTACAAATACAAAGTTACCCAGAGTTACAGCCGCTGCAAGGACTGTCTACAGACAGGCATGAGTCCCAGTTACGGAACACAGACCATTTATGTCCCATCAGTAAGTGCTTTTTGGAGATTACCTACACTTAAGGCCACTTTCCTCAACTGACAAGCCCTCAGAAGCCAGCCTAGACCTTGGAGTGGGAGGGGAAGGGAGGACCCAGCGTCCCCCGTACATGTGTTCTTCTTCGGCAGTTTTCTGGGTGGGTACAAGCTCTCCAGAGCCTACTGCTCACCTTCCCCACGGGCATGTCCCATCTCTTCATTCTTCCCGTGCCCTTCCCAGCGGGCAAGGCAGGCAGGCAGGGGCTGCCCGTGGGACCTCCGTGTCTGCGGCAAAGTCTCAGTGTCTGGGGCAGAGGTGGAGCTCTAGGGGCCCCTGGGCCATCTCACCTCAGCAGCACCCCGACTGGGACTCAGCAAGGTAGGAGCCTGGTCATAGCCCCGCCAGCAGCTCGCTGGTAGCCTTGGGCGTCCACCTCGGGACCTGTAAACACTCTCTCTGGATTGCCAACACGACCCAGGGATCCATAAACAGGAGATCCCCGTGTTATACTGCCACGGTTCCAGGAGCATTTTGATACATTCCTGCAGGGCAGTCTGTGGTCAAGCTTGGGAACTATGATATGGACGCTTGCTTGCCAAATACAAGAAGTAATGGCTTAAAATTGGTGTCCAAGTTGTTAGTTTCAACTCAGAGGACGGTGGGGACAAGGTGCCATAACTGGTGTCTCAGATAGACCCGCAGTGGGCTCACTGAGAATGTGGACGGAGGAATGTCTTCTAATCTTGAGAGGACACTAAATCAGATGGAGCCTAGTGGTCTGAGAGAGATAATATAATCCACAATAATGACAACTGGAGTAGACAGTGTGGTCGAGGAGAGACAAACACAGTTATACAAAGGCACAGGGATGAGACATACACAGATGTGTCCAGCTACCCGAGAATAAAATCGAGGTTCCTGCTACTTAGAGGCCAGAGAGCCCTCGCCTGACGCTCCGAGCAAGGACCCCGACGTGCCTTGGCTGCAAACATCGCGGACAGTGCATCACCAGCCCCTCACCTCTCTCCTGCCGGGCTCAGGGGCAGGTCAGCCAGCTCCACTCTCCATTTCTATTCCCAGCTGTCCACAGAAGGACTCGCCCTACCATTTGCGTAACACATTGCAAACTCTCCTACCTACTGTTCCTAACATCCTGGGGGAGGGGAGAGGCAGGTGCTATTGCGGTTGTGCCCAGTTTACAGCTGACAAAGTGCACAGTCAGGTAGCAAAGCCGGGACCCGGGTACCCTGACTCCTAGTCTGATGATCCTCTGTGTCACTGTGGCCTGTCTGCCCAACTGGGAGCCTCCAAATACTCTTCCCTGTGCCCTGGGGTGGCACAGGGATGGTGACTGGCAGGGTGAGGCAGGGGAGTGTCCCACCAGCCCCCAAGCCCTGATCACAGCACAGCGTTGCTGCCCCTCAGCAGCGGCCTGACCTGTCCTGTGACTGTGTCGAATGCTGTCAGATGCCAACTCTGCTATTTATTTGAGGAATGACATTTTTAAATGTGGCAGATATGCACCCCGAGTCACAGCAGTCACACGAGGAGAACATTCCAGATCTCTGCAGACTGCTGCATGCCAGGAACAGAGTAAGGGGCCGTACAGCCCAGCCCTGTAACTGCCCTCCAGGCACCACCGCTGCTGCAGGAGTGGGGGGTGCAGTGGGGAGCCGAGGAGTTCTTGCAACCCCTTCCAGGGATGCACACCACCTGGTCCCAGGAAGTGACAAGAACTGCCACCACCAGCCTCCTCAGTGGACAAGGGACCCTAGACATTTGGCTTGAGCCTTACCCCAGACACGAAGGTGTTTCCCGTTTCTGAGGGGGCCAGGTCCAAGCAGAGCACGTCGGCCCCGTGCCCGTGGAAGCTCTGCAGCAGCTGCCCACTCTCCACGTCCCACAGGGCGCACGTCCCGTCGCCGCTGGCCGTCAGGATCTGCCCGCGGGAAAGGACAGGAAGAGCGTTGTTGACATTGTTACTTCGGTCAGGGGCAGGTCCGTCAGGGAACAGAGGCTCCTTAAACACACAGACGCACACCTGGCTACAAGAAAAAGTCCATTTCGGCACCCTGTTGCTGAGCGGCGTCTCTGTGCCTGTCCTCCAGGGTGGACGCCGGAGGCCTCCCTGCGGTACCTGCGGGCTCTCTGCCTGCCTGGCGCGTGGGACGCCTGTGAACATTCGCTGAGCAGAGCCGGGACCACTGTCCAGGCCGGACATGTAAGGTGCTTCTCAGAGCACCCCAGTCACTGAGCTTCTTGCTAATACAGAGTATGGGGTTGAGCCTGAGATTCTGTAGTTCTCCCAAACTCCCAGGTGATGCTGATGCTGGCCACTGGACCCCATCTGCAGCAGCAGGGTTGAGGCAATTTGTTAGACACATTCTCCTACTGCTGCTTCTTCCCAGCTCAGGGTGCTGTCCCCGAGGCTCCTGGGGCCTGCGAGGGGCCACACTCCTGCACGCCCCGCACCAACAAGCACGGGCTGTGTGCTGACGACGTCTGGGTGCCCTGCTGGGCGTCAGGATTTGCAGAAAGATTGAGTCTCGGTCTCTACTCTCCTGAAGCGCACTCAGTTGAACAGAATTGGCTATAAAAACTGAAACCAACCTAATTCCCTGTCTTCCATATTAATCAATTCCGGAACCAACTATACTTTCCTGGTGCTGTGATAAACAATACTGTGACCAAGTAAAAATAACCTGCCTGCTTGCTCTAGGAAATACCTGCTTCTGTAAAATAAGACTGTAAACCACCGAAACAACTTACCAAGACTAACAGCTTGCTCACTGAGCCTGGCTTTAAGACCCTTACCTCGCTGGGCTCACCAACCCAAAGCTATTACGTCATCAACCAGTTTCTCACTGTGAGAGGTCCACCTAAGCACCACCCAGCCCAGTCCCCGAAAGCCTCCCAGTAGCCTTCCCTGGCTTCTCCACTGTGAGGCACTGTAGAGATTCTCCAGCGGGGGGCTCCCTCCTCACTGCAGTAGGTCTAAGAAGCTTAGCACTGCTGAATGGCAGGTTTTTCTGAAGGTCTTGTAGACAAGACAGTGGCCACAGTGACACGGTGCCGAGATACAGGCTGGCCCATGGGAGGGGCATCAGGCGCACTCTGGCCACATCTAAGCTGGTCTTAGAGGACGAGTGAGACCAGGTGAAGGAGGGAGGGCACTGCAGGGACCGCCTGCCTCTGCACTGAACGACAGGTGTGCCTGGGAGAGTGAAGACTTTAGCCTGCAGACAAAAAAAAGCCTTGGAAAGCTTCTGAGCAGAATGATAAGATTAAGGGTATATTTTTGGAGAATCTGTCAGGTGAGTGCAGCGATCCCTCGGCAGCCTCTGAATAGTTTTCTTTCTTTCTAAAACAATTATCTTTATTGTTGAAAGTACTACAGATTTCCTCCTTTTTTCCCCCATTGACACTCTCCTCCCCCTCCCGCCCCACCTTCACGGCACTGTTGTCTGTGTCCACTGGTTGTGCATATATGCATATCAGTTCTTTGGTTTATCTCATCCCACCCCCTACCCGCTGAGGTTTTCCAGTCTGTTCCCCACTTCCATATCTCTGAATGGCTCACACAGGAAGAACACTGGGGTGCCTGGGGAAGGCATGGGCAGAGCCACCGTGCGTGAGGCTTGGGCTCCGGCTGAGCATCCCTTCGTGGGGTTGGGAGAAAGGCAGTGGGAATCCAGGGTTCGTGGCTCACAGACCCAGCTGACTGCCTTGCAGCACCTGGAGCCATGAGGGGCCATGCGGGGAACCACACGCCATAGACCTTCCCTGTGGCCCACCTTCTGGCTGCTCCCAGGCCTGGATGAGGTGATAAAACAGTGCAGGAAGGGGCTCTTGCAATATTAAGTGCCCACATCAGAGAGCCCTCTGTGGGTGATAATTACTGATGGCTCGGGAAAGAAAACAGGAATTCAGGCCTTCAGGACTTACCGCTAATGGATGCACCTCCAATTTCCATGTGCTGGTGGTCTTCCCTCCTCTCCCTCCTCCCCACCCTCTTCCCTTCCCTCTTGCAGGCTAGGCCTAGCGCTTACATAGAATCCCCTTCCTTCTGCAGGGAGCGGACACAGTGCAAGGAGGGGAATCTGCTCCCACCCGGACTGGCCCCACCTGCGGCCCGCCGGAGGCTGCGCTGTCGGGTGGGTTTCCTGCGGGCAGCCTGGGATCTCTTCGCAGCCACGAGAGACCACTTTGGAGCACCTCTCGGAGCAAAAGCTGGATGAGTTCCCAAGCTCTCAGGCTTCTTGAGTCTAGTTCCCAGGTCCTCCTCAGAGTCCCCACGGAGAGGCAGCTCTTAAATGTGGGGAATTTCCAAGCTGCAAAGTCCCTGCAGCTGTTCATGGGACACCCTGCTGATTCAGCTTCCCTCAACTTGTCAGGTGTGCATCTGAGAAGATGAGCAAGGCTGGTAAAAGTAGCTCATGAACACACAAGACTTAGACCGTGTCTCAATGTGTAATATGCTACATCTTCCTCCAGGCTCTCCGGCCCACACCCACTAGCGCCTGCTCCGTGCCACTCCAGTCCTGACACCTGCAAAGGGTCAATACTCTCCAATCGGTTTGGGGACACTAGGTCCAAACAATCTGCCTTAAATGATTACCACAGACTAGCTCTTTAATTTGGCGATTTTCCATACCGTTCTTGTCAAACAAATGAATAGTTTTCAAAAGTTAAAAGGAAATTTTTAGTATGTAAAAACTATCTTTGTGATCTTCATTACAATGTAGGTACAAATACATTTTAAAAACCAAACACTCATTACCATAAATGCACGAACTAGAACTCACTCGGTCTCACGGGTCTATTCTGGAATGTGAAGAATTTGTAGGTTTACTACCTTAGTCTTACAACCAGCCACCTGAGTTTTCCTTTTTTTCATCCTTGATCTTAGATATGGGAGAACGAGGATGGCTCATTAGTTCATTAGTACCCAACCCAGGCTGTGCATCTGAATTTCTGTGTAAGGAAGCTTTGTGTTAATATTCGTAATAAAACAGTAAGAGCCTAACACTTATTGCTATTTACCAGGGACTGTATGTATTAAGTGTTTTACATGAATCATCTAATTTAATCCTCAGAAAAACTTAAGGGAGGAATTTATGACCATCCTCACTTGCTGGTGAGAAAAACAAAACTGAGAATACAACCTTGTCTAGGACCAACCAGCCAGAGGGCAGTGAGCCAGGACTCGATCCCCTGTCACTCTGAGCCAAGCACCCTGCGAGGCAGCCGGCGGGGCTTCCCCCGATTCCATCTATCTGCTTCCAGCTGCTTGTCAGGAAAACAGCACTTTCTACCTGACAGGCGACCCCTGCACCCCCACCTCCAGCATTGTGGCAACAGAGTGAGGGCGATGGGTCTGCACCAGACGCTTCAGATGCCCGACGACCCCCTGTGCCTACATCCATCTGTGGCTTCCTTCTTCCAGACTAGCATCCTCTGTTGCTCTGGCTACTCAGGCTCACCAGCCTCTGGTTCTGGCCACTGCAGCCAGCTGGGGCCACAGCACCCCCTACAGTACAGGTCTGCAAGCTTCCTGATCACAAATACCAGGTATAAGCACCTCACTTCAAGTCTGACACTCCCTTGCCAGCAATTAAACAATGACCCAGTCACCTGGTTTCCCGCCACCAGCCTCCCCTCCCGACATGAGTCAGCTGAAGCCCAGGGGGCCATGGAAGGTTTTAATCAGACTCAGATACTCTCCTGCTTAAAACAAATCCAAATAAGACCCAGCCCCTGCAGGGCTGCCCTCCATCTACAGGGCATTCAGGGCGCCTGTGGTGTGTCCCTGCCCACCTCTCGGGCTGCCTGCCTCCCGCTGCACTCCCCTCGCATCTCACTGGCAACACCCTTGCCCTCCAAGGCGGCCCAGGCAGCTCCTGGCAGCAAGTCTGTGCCCACCCTTCTGCTCCGAGCTCCCAGCGTCCTTGCTGCTCAGTCCCCACTGGTTTCCGGGAAGGTCCCTGAGGACAGAGCCTGAGTGTCCCTGCAGCCCCAGAGCTAGGGGTGGACACCTAGAAAGGTTTGCCAAGCAGATGTGGAGAAATATGCTTTCATAACTTGTCAAGAAAATGTGGTCAAAGTGCTGAAGTAGTGTTTTTATGTTGGGGTTTACTCAAAGCAGGGCATAGATTTACTATCCAAAGCTTCCTCTTTTTTGCACCTATTCTAACAGGAGAGTACAGTAGGCTCGGTGAGGTGTATAAAGTACCCAACTCTGAAGCTCAGCAGCTCAGTGAAGTTGGCACACGTCCTCTCAGACCAGGAGACAGGGATTCCCACCACCCCAGCAGGTTCCCTCTTCCACCCCAACAAGTCAATCAGAGAAGGGTGTTCAATATGGTATGTATTTATCTCAACTCTATCAGTAGCCAATAGCCCTGGCTTTCTTCATTTCTGATTTTATTTAAAATAATAATAACAACCAATGAGGAATAATAGGAGCTTCCTCTTAGCCGCCCCCCCACCCCCCAGGGGAACACTGGAAAAGCTTCCTCTACTCCCCTGGAGTTGTCACCCTGCTGTCCAGCAGCTGACCCATCCCCGGGCACTTGTTTACCTGCATGTCCGAGTTGGTGAAGCTGCAGGCCGACAGGTAGTTGGTATGCATGGCAACAGACTTCTTTTTGGCAGCCATGCTTTCGTTTTTGTCAAATGTCAGTGGATACACGGAACACTTATTATCCAAACCACTAGCATGGAAAGAACGAAGTGTCAAATGTTGATAGAGGGCAATAGAGTAAGTGGATACTTTCTCATTCACACAGACTTTTCAAAACATTTTCTTTCAGCAGTAGCACATATTGTAACCTTTCCCCCAACTTTTACTCTGAAGATTTTCTAATGCACAGTAAGACTGAAAGAATGAACATCCAACCCCTTCACTAAAACTCGTAACTTAACATTTTGTGGGAACAAATTCTGAACTGTTTGAATGCAAACCCCAGACACAACATGTTACATCTAAATATTTCAATGTGCAAATTTACATCTCCTAAGAATAAGAACATTCTCCTATATAACCACTACATAATTATTACACATAAGAAAACTAACAAAAATTCCATAACACCATGTAATAAGCCATCCATATTCAATCTTCCCCAATTGTCCCCAGGATCCGGGGCCCAATCAAGGTTCACACATTGCATTAGGTTTTTATATCTTGTTGTTGTTGTTAATCCTCACGAGAATATTTTTCCATTGATTGTGAGAGAGATGGGGAGAAAGGGAGAGAGGGAAACACCAAGAGGAAGAGAGAGAAACATCGATATGAGAGAGACACATTGATTGCTTGCCTCCCACATGACCCCAACCAGGTCAGGGATTGAATTTGCAACCCAGGTACGTGCCCTTGAATGGAATCAAACTGGCAACCCTTTGGTCCTTGGGCTGACATTCTGACTGCTGAGCCAAATTAGCCAGGGAGGTTTTTATATATTTTCAAAACCATTTAATCTAGGACAGGCCCTCCGCCTGTCTTTTGGTGTCCACAACAGATCCTAGGTTACCTGTCTTACAGAATGCCGCATTCTGAGTTTGTCACACTGTCTCTTAATGGTGAGATTCAAGTACAGCATTTTGGCAACAATGGTACAGAGGTGATACTGTGTACTTCTTTCTCACTTCTTCCTCAGGAGGCTGCGATGCCTGTTACACCAAGGGGTGTGATGCCAACTTTGATTATTTGGTTAAAGGGGGGACAATCAGATCTCTCTCGTTTGTAATGAGTAGTATCTGTGATGTGATACTCTGAGAGTGTGCGAATACACAGTTCCCCAAAAACTTTTCATTGAATGGCTTCAGCATGACTACCTTTGTTTAATTAGATACTACTTTAGGGGTACAAAATAGTGACCTTCTAATTCGATAATTCTTCCTAAACTTATTAGCTGACATTTTCCTGTAAAGAACAATCCTCTTTACCAGCATCACTGTATACCTATGGACTCCTTTTTCTCTTCAGTGGTGCTGTGATCCATTACTTTCATTATTCTATGTGATGCTCAAATCATCCAAATCTGGACAGTGGGGCCCCTCCAAGCAGCTCCTGTTTCCTTTCGATAGAACTCTAGGTTCTTGGACATCTTGCTTTCTGGACAAGAAAATATCCTAGGCTCACTTTATTCTCGTCCTGCCCCAGACCTACACTAAGCTTTGCTTCCAGGAGCCTGCTTCCTCGTGATGAGGAAAGGGATCTAGGAGGGAACGCTCTCTTCTGAAGCCCGGGGGACAGACCCCTTTCACTTCCAACGGCTTGGAACTGCAGGAGTGGACTGGGGTAGTCTCTCACCAGTAACTAGCTTTGGCAAAACTGTTTATAGACCGTGTGGGTGAGAATGACTTGCACTTGGCTGTGGCAATGAGCCAGGTGCTATGTTCAGGGGTGTCCCTGCCCTCCCCCCAGGCGAGCCATGCTGAAACTGCAGGGTCAGTTCTGTAGCTCTGTTGGTCTGGGCATTGCTCAGGATGACCTGCTTTGCTGAGAAGCAGAGAAGTTTTGCAGTGTAATGCATCTGTTGCTGAACCTCTGCTTTAGTATCTAACTCGTTTTTGTTGTTTTATCCTCACCCGAGGACATTCTTCCATTTTCTGTTCAGGTAGAGTGGGAGGGAGAGAGAGGAAGAGAGAGAGAGAGAAACATAGACGCGAAAGGGACACATCGAGTGGCTGCCACCCGCACGACCAACCAGGGCCCGGGACAAACTGCAACCAAGGTACGCGCCCTTCGCGGGAACCGAACCCAGGTCTCTCTGGACCGCAGGCCGACGCTCCAACCCTTGAGCCAAACCGGCCAGGGCTCTAACTCATTTTTTGATCTTGGTTATGCTGTTTTTAGGTTCTCTGAGCCTCAGTTTCCTCAACTATAAAATGAGTAGATCCCACCCACCTATCACAAGGGGCTGTTGTGAAGATTGTGTAGAGTTCAGAATAGCCCTTGACCCATGATAGATGCTCAGTAAGAGGTCATTACCATCACTTTTATATTCTACTTGCTTGAAGGCAGGTACTGTTTTATTCAACTCTGAATTCCCCTAGGACACCCAGTCTGGTGCCTTGCACACAGTTTATCATAGCCAGTATACAATAACTGAATGTAGCCCTCTTGGGGGATATGGCTCTCAAAGAAAAATGTTTACATATATATGTAATTACACACACACACACACACAATTAGCACATTATTTTTGAGAAGGGGACTGTGTCAATACTGTTGGAATTTTAGCTTTCAAGTTTGGAACCAACTGAGAGACAGACCCAGTAGTCAGGCAGATGGAGATATCCCCATTATTACCTATACAGACGGTGGGAAAACGTGGCGTAGGTGGGTCTGTGTGACAATAACGTTAAAGGGATGTCACAAAGCCATGGCTGGGAAACTGTATGTTAGATTATCATTAGAAACTCGAATTAACCATGAATGTTCTTAGCAGTTCTAGGGGAAGGTTTGAGTAGGGGAGATGGTGCTTTTATCTAAGATGAGGATTCAGTCTTTCTCAGTTTAGTTTCTGATGCTGTCCCTTCACCCACTGGACCCCGTATTTTAAAAAATGCTTTCACAGATGTTCACACTGTGAACTTTCTCTGCTTTGGTTTTCGTAACAACCTGTGAGGCGGCCACCAGAGGCCCAGGCCCAGGGGGACAGAGATGATGGTGGCACAGGCCATCCCTCCATCTGGACTCTCCGGGTGTCACCAGAGAGCTATCCGTGCGGGCCTTTAGCTGTTCTCTCGCCTGCTCCCTTGCCCTCGTGGACCTTCTTCCACCGGGCTCCATTTCGTGAGGGGTAAAAGGAGAAAAGGGACAGATCATTGCTAAACTGCAGACGCTGTTCACTGTGTTGCTATACTGTGTACTGCAGAAGGATCTAGCCAATATATTCCTTTTGTAATTTAGAACCAGACAACTGATATCTCAACATCAAATACTGTGCAATTATGTAACCCATCCAACTCTACGCATTTGCTAAAATTAATGCCCAGTTAGAAACATATTATCCCAGTGTTTAAAAAAATATAGAGTATTTATATAGAGTGTATTTATATACTGAGTAGAGAAGAATTGACCTTACCTAATTCGAGGTCTGGCCTATTGCTCCGGCTACTGGGAGGTGATCTCTGAGCCCCCGGGGTGTTCCGCCTGATGGGAGTGTCGGCTTGGGGCTCTGACCACTGGACAGCGATACTGACCCGCCCTGGCTGCAGAAACTGCAGACTAAAGGCATTAGCCTGAACCGCCAGGAGACTGGAGAGTGGAGGTCAGCCGTGTGGGCCGCATGGGATCAAGCTCTACTGAACTCGCCACCAAAGGCTCAGGAGGCTCGGCCGGCAGCCCTCTGTGCCCCAGGCACACACTGCAGCTGGAGGGAACGCTGGCTGTGACCCCACAGGGAGGGCACTGTGGGGCTTCGTGTTTAGACGTCTCCTGGACTGGGTCTGTGCTTCTCTTCCTCTAGCTCAGTGGCTCTCCACCTTCCTGATGCCGCGACCCTTTAATACAGTTCCTCATGTTGTGGTGACCCCCAACCATATAATTATTTTCATTGCTACTTCAGAACTGTAATTTTGCTACTGTTATGAATCGCTATCGGAAATATGTGTTTTCCGATGGTCTTAGGCGACCCCTGTGAAAGGGTCATTTGACCCCCAAAGGGGTTGCGACCCACAGATTGAGAACCACTGCTCTAGCTGGTTCTCATTGTGTCCTTTCACTGTGGTAAAACTGAGCTACACACAGCACTTTCCTGAGTTTGTGCATCATTCCAGCAAACCACTGAGTCACAGGGTGGTTGTGGGGACCCCTGAATCTGCAGCTGGTATCTGAAGAGAGGGGAGTCTTGTGGGGACTGTGCCTTCTAACTGTACAGTTCACTAAACTCTTCTGTATCTACCTTATAATTGTGAAGTATGTATATAAAAATAACTGTCTTACATATGTGATATGTATGTGTGTGTGTGTGTGTGTGGGTGTGTATGTGTCTTTTATTGGGGTCACCTCAGATCCTTTTAGGAAGTAGATGGGGATGAACTTTGTTTTCCAGTTATAAAATGAAGACAGAATCTACTTTTGAGTTCTTAAAACCCGTGAAATCTATGTATGTGAACACGCGTTCCGAAGGCACACCTGGTCTCAGCAAGTGGGGAAAGACAGGGACTCTGGGGACGGCGGCTGGCAAGGCTCTGGCTGGAGAAAGCGCCAGAGTTTTTGCTCAGAGGCCCAGGGTTTTCATATTTGATATAAAACGATTTTCTCCTGATTATAAAAATAATGTGCTTACTTTTAAAAATTTAAAATAAAGAAAATTATAAAGAAGAGGAAAAACACCCATCATCCCATCACCCGGAAAGAACTACTATTGTGTTTTCAGTCTAGTTCAGAGATTTTCAACCAGTTGCCACAGAATTTTTAAAACATGCAATACCTGACTATTGAGTCAGGAGCACTGACCTCTCTTCCCTTCAAAAAATAATAGTAGCCAATATAAATAATAGTAGCCAATAGTAGTCAGATGGGCAAAAAAATTAGTAATTAGTTCATATGTGCCATGAGATGAAAAAGGTTGAAAACTGCTGGTCTAGTTCATCACAGCTAATGCCTCTTTTCTAAACATGGCTGAGATTCTACCATGGACATATTTTAAATGGCCCCACAATTATTTAACAGGGACAGGGGACCATGTTGGTTGCCATTCTTGTTGCCAACCCTGTTACACTGAGCTGCAGGAGAACAGAGAACAAGGCACAGTCTTCCTCGTAATCTGAATGCTCTTTTCACTTGCTACTGTAATTAAGCTTTTCCCTTTTAATGGCTGTATAATATTCCATCCAATTCATATGCCACAATTATTTAACCATTTCCTTTGATGGACAGATTGTTTCCCTTTCTTTGTTTTTGGTTTTATTTTACATAATTCTATAATAAATGTTATTATTCCTATGTGTTTTTTCCTACATTGTGGATCATTGCTTTCAAACAAGTTCTCAGATGTTAACTCACTAGACCAAAGGTTATACGTTTTTCAATTGTCCTGATACACCTTGCCAACATGCTTCCCAAAATGTCTGCATCAGTTTATAGGCCTCACCAACAGCGTTTGAGAGTGTGGGGCATGGGTTTAAGGCCTATACTACTGTCAGTAGGTAATAAAAATAATGATGAAAGAGATGTTTGTGCTTTTTTTTTTTTTATATAAAGTTTAGGGAGGAATTTAACACATTTTTAATAAGCAAACAATAAAAATGACAAATTCTTGTTGTGTGTTTTTACCCACACAACAGTACCCTGTGGTGAGCAGGAAGTCCGAAAGGCTGCTGTAGGTCCTACTCACCCACACGCAATGGCACATCCCGACGGGGCGTACGCACATGCCATTACCCACGTGCAGGGCATGGTGACCGCGTGCTCCTGAAACACAGTGCAAACCGTTCACAAAGTAAACAAGAGCCATTTCTACATGAACATCTTAGTATTTAACTTTTAAAAAGTCACTGGTGATTTTACTGAATTACATTGTAGTTTCAAAGGATAGTGGGGTGGAGTAACAATGAGCTTGAGACTGATGAGGAAACTCATTCAGCCACATATAATCAAACAAATGTTATGTTATATAATCTAAAAATCTCAACTATATATATGTTAAAAATCTCAACTAGCAAAAAAAAATCCTTAGCTTTACTTCTTTCTTTTTTAAAAACAGCGAGAGGAAGGGAGAGGGGGGGAGAGAGGAGGAGAAAAATGGGTTGCCTCCTGTGCGCACCCTGACGGGACTGAACCCGACCCCGCCTGTTCTGCTCCCTGTGTTCTGAGTGAATACTGGGGCTCCTTTTCTTTGAAAGGTCCATCCGAATTTCATTTCCAATACATGTTTTGCCTTATTTATTCTCATTCCCATTTTTAAAGTATGTTCTCGAGTGACTTTTTGCATGTATACGTTTGTTTACGTGTGAGTATACAAGAGCCTCTGTCCCCCATGGGTCCCAAAACCATTCCTGGGAAGGCGTGAATGGGGGCAGGAGGGTGATCTTGAGTTGTGCTCTGGGATAAAAGAGAACCAGTGAAATGGAAGCGTTAGGAACCAGCCTAACAGTCCCTGGTTCTGGGTGGTGGTCGCGTTACCCACACCCTCCTGCAGGCAGACAAGCAAACACAAAGCCATGATCCAACAACTTGGTTCCAACACCAGCAAGACGTGCAGCGCCCGGCAAACCAGCCGTCTGTACTAACTCGGTCCCATTCTCCACCTGGGAAGGGAGGGACCAAGACTAGATTTGTGCAGGACACTCAAGTGCTGGTCTTTCCCGTTACAATTCTCTGTGTCTTTATGGGGAAACATGGGCCCTGAGACTTCCTGTCAAAATTCTGTTGTCACTCACAGTCTTGCAGCCTCTCAGAGGCCGGGAATCATCGACTGCCCTCCAGTGAAAGGGGGCAGGTGGCCGCTCTCTCAGCACAGGGCAGCCCAGGCCCCTTTCCGTGTAAGTAATGGCCATGTCCCTGCCGGGCCACAAGTGGCGACTCCACAGCTCCCCGGAAACCAGGCAGTGTGTGCTCTACGCCACGTTAAAGCGTAAACAGAAGCAACAAAACCCCACGCACTGCTCAGGAGCGCTGGGAGAGACAGTCTTCCATGGAGGTAGGTGATGTAGAATAACGCCCTTTGCAAACTGTGAAGGTGGCATTTCTATCATCCCCCCGGGGCCTGACCATCAGGGACTCGCTCTACAGAAGGGTCTGGGGCCTCACTTGATCGGGTCACCTAACAGCTGCCTACCATGACGTTTACTAAACGCATCCAATAACGCAGAATATGGACACTGCTCAGTGTGTGACAGATACGGGTCTCCTTTTTAAATAGTGGAAAGGAAGACTTTCTCCTAAGGAAACACTGGAATCCACACTAATACAGAACACTCGTCACTGTAAATGCGAGCACGACAGAGGCGTGGAGCACACCCGCTCCGAGACGCTGGGCTTTCCCTTCAGCAGAGGGTCTACAGTGGGGTCTCACTGAGAGCTGTGCATGCTCGGGCCGGGCTGCGGGGCACAGACTGCACTGCGTCCGCGGACAGTGCGGGTGGACCCACCGCAGCCGTGGCCTCACCGCCGTCTGCTCATGCCCACAGCGCTACGGAGTCTGGTAGAGCTGGGAGAGAAAGCTGGACTGGGTAGCTCATCGTCACTCAGGAGGACAGAGGCAGCTGCCTGTGTGCGTGTGACCGGTGTTCCGGGCCAGGCCCCTGCCTGTTTTGGTGTGAGTATGGCCGGTGGTGCTCTGCCTGCTCCTCTGTGCCGAGGGTTTCGGCTCGAGAGAGGGGTGAACACTGCGGTGTTCTGCTGAGCTGTCTTAACAGATGGGCTTTTGTGGGGTTTTCATCCTCAGGCAGGCTCCCCAAGAGGCAGGGAATGAGGACCGCAGCACCTTTAAAGTAGGCTGGGGTTCGGAGGTGCCTCAGTTCACCAGGGACAGCCCTTACCTTGTTAGTGGTGAAGGAATCCCACACGATCACCTTCCCGTCCTGGGGAGGAAAGAGTCAAGAGTTCAGGAGTTGTCAACAAGTCTCCTTCCTTTGTCATCACTGCTGCAGCCCACACTGGGGGTGACTACAATAGCATCTGTTTGTAATACGAACCCCCCAGAGATAACTCCAGGAGCTCTCTGGTCCCTACAACACAGTTGCCTGTGCAGACGTGGTGTGAGGTGTCTCTGGGCCCCCAACAGTGGCAGAAGATGGCTGAGCTGACTTCCTTCAGTGCACGGGTCCCCCAGGCATCCTCGGAGATGGTGTGTCTGCCCTCTGTAGCACGCTGATTGTTTTAATCCCTCAAGGCACTTGGAGCCAAATCTGGTGAACGAGGTGATGGGGGGGGGGGGGGGGAGGCTGTAATGCCACTTACGGGCATGAGCAGGTCAGATGATCTAAAGTGACAAGCTGCTTACTTCGCATGACTTCCATATTCATGCTGAGTGTGGCTGAGGGGGCCTGGACTCAAGGTCAAAGTCAGCAGTTTTGGGCCTTTCAAGATGCCTAAGTACATTGGTTTTTCTGGTCTAATTTCTCTGGCTATCCTCCAAAACACGAGGTGTGGGGAGATGAGGTAACAGTGCAGGGAACAAAGCAAGGGCTCCAGGCCTGTATCTGTGGGTGCTCCCCGCCTGGCGCCCCTGCTTGCTGGGCATGGGATGACTCAGTGCATGGCCCACGTCAGCAGGCACTCAGCGGCTTCCTCCACCGCACCGCCTGCCTGTCCTCACTGCCCACCCACTGTGTGCTCTGGAGAGAAGAGACTAAAATCAGTCTGACGAAGCTAAATGTGTCCCCTCCATGAGCACAGTTTATACACCGGGGCCTATGGACCTGGAGAGACACTGCCTCCACCCCAAGCCAAACCCGCTGATGAATCTCCTGCCCTTTAAGGGGAAAGGGCTTCCCAGAGCCTTCCCGCTGTCTCCAGGTTCCTCCCACACCCACCCAACTCTCTCTGCAGCAGACACGGACGGATGGAGCCTGTCAGCCCTCCTCCCCCGTCCCTCTCTCAGCAGAGTGCACATGAGTCACACAAAAATCCAACATACATTATACTTTTAAGGATAAAAAAGTCTAAAAGACTAGGTCGCAACATGTACGTATCAAATAATCACCTTGTAAACATGAGCATTTGAAAAAAACAACATCTAGAAAGAAATGCTCTAAAGTAAAAAGAATGGTTGTGACAGGGTGGTGGGAGCCAAAACCTTTTCTGTGTCCTCTTTTCCCGTGTTCCTTTAACGCGGTAAAATACAAGGTGACACATTTTTTCTGGACACAACGAAAGTGAGCACTGTGTGACACGCCGGCTTTGCAGCTAATACCGGAGATCGACAACACCTGTCCTGTCAAACGCAACACTGACATGGCTGTCGGATTATTCAGGGTATGTAGTTTTTATTTAAAGGGGTTATAAACAACAAACCAACTTGTCCTTTGGAAAAGCTGGGATGACGGCAAGGGGAAAGGGAAGCCCAAACTGGCTATAAAAACATATGATTTCAGTACAGAGTTGTATGTTCACCAAACGCATGTAACATCCAAATAAACACAAAAAAATACTAAGCAGTGGTTACTCGGCTCCAAGAGTCCCCAGTCATCCCTGTGTCCTGAAAATCACACGGCTGTTTGGGCCCCTTCCTCAGTCTCTCGGGGTTGGCCCGTGTGACCAACGGAATAGAGTGGAAGTGACAGCATGTCACCTCTCAGGCCAGGTCTCAGAGGACCTGGTCGCAGAAGCACGCTCTGCCTCCATCTCCCCCTGGATCACGTGCTCCGGGGAGGCCAGCCACCGTGTCCTGAGCAGCCCTACGGGAAGGTCCACGCGGTGCGAAGCGAAGACCTCCAGCAACCGCCACGTGAGCGAGCCATCTCAGAGTGAGTCTCTGCCTTAGTCCAGCTGCTGGACGCCTGCAGCCCTGACCGACATCCTGACTGCAACTCTGAGAGACCGTGGGCCGGAACCACCCAGCTAAGCTGCTCAGGGTTCCTGACTCTCAGAATCCACATGAGATAATAAATACAGGTTGTTTTAAATTGCTAAATTTTGGGGTAATTTGTCATGCAACAAGAGATAATACATAAGATGTAAAATAAACGATGTCAACTATACAACATGAATGAAAAATTAGATTTCACAAAAATAAATATCTTAAATTTCTTCTTTAAGGCATAAAAATTGCTATACTCTTAAAACATGGTGGCATCTCAACCACTTATGCCCTCAATTTGGGAAAAAACAAAACCCCACTGTTTAAAAATTGGTCGCACTCACAAATAAGACTATGCAATATGCTCAGGAAGAAATCATTTTGAATGGTCTGTCAAATACAGTTTATAACGTTTTAGGATGAGCAATTTCAAATCCCCCCAAATTAGTGAAGTTCTGCAGTATAAAAGAGAACTCTCAGCCATGCTAAACTCATGTCCTTTGGAGAAGAAGCAGAGTCGTACAGTTCAGAAAGGATTTTTGAAAAGGACAGCTCTCATCCCCGAGCTGTAAGTCAGAAAGCTGCCCACCATCATTCAACAGGTGCGACATACCTGTGACGAGCTCACGATCCTCCTCTTATCTTTGCACCAGTCCATGCAGAGAACCTTGTTCCCGTGGCCTTTGAGGGTCCTTCTAGTCTTCATGACAAACTGCCCCAGGGCCTCCACCCGCTCCGCCACCTGGTGCACTGGAAAGACAAGGCTGTCGTCAATCCCGTCACCAAGGACCAGGCTCCGAGCCTCATGCTGGCACAGGGAAGGCACTGGGCTTCTCTGCAGCCACTGCTGCGCTCCAGTGTCCTTGACTCTGCCACGCCCTCCCGTGCTCTCTTTCAGGCTCAGGAGAGGGGAGAGACAACACAGTCATTCTCTCCTTGTGTTTTTCAAACCACTGCCATGTACGCATGTGGAGGGACGACCACCAGCAGACTACCTGGAGTTTGGAAGGCACAGAACTGGGGGTGGCAGGGGCCCTGCTCTGCAAGCCGGGCAGGGCGGCAGCAGAGGGAGACTGCCATCCCCACTTCACAGGTGAGCAGACCGAGGCTCTCAGGGGTTGTTTGGCTAATACAAGTGCATACGACGAAGTGGGAGTGAAGCTGGGGCTTTGGTTCTTGTATCACCACTTTCTAGTCACAAGGAAAAGTGACCTTACAAAAACTATCCTGGCAGGTGCCATGGTGTGGACCCACGCTGCCCCAGGGCTGGCACTGGGACTCCTCGCTGACCCCGTATGCCAAGGGCAGGCCTGGGACACAGTAGGTGACCTTTCACATGCTGCAGGAAGGAAAGAATCAGTGAACCACCAAACAGTGCAGCTGTGGGTTTACTGAAAACTTACAGTGTCGGCAGAGACCAAGGCAATGTCCCAAAAGTCCGAACACACCGGCTGTGGAGGTCCCACACCAGGAAGCACTCCAAAACTCTGTCTTTCAGGGGCTGGGACCACTGCCTCTCCCCAGGCTGAGGGGGAGTCCCCGAGCTTATTCAGAGCCTGCCCCTGCTGAGTTTCAGAGGGGCAAGTCCCACGGAGCAGCAGAAAGGGTGGCAGAGGCCAGTCCAGAAGCCCAGGTGAGGGTCACGTGGCTCCGCCCCATGGAGTACCACTCCCTGCCTGGTAGAGGCTGCACCCGAGTCCCCTTCCCTCAAACCTCTCACTGGCTTTCTCCAGCCAGGAGCTGCTGACGCTTGCTGAGGAAGCGCCCACCACCCTTCCTGCGGAAGTCTGGGCTGAGAGGGCCCGCTCTGTGGTTTAAGCCCTGAGCCAACAGCACACCTAGGAAACCCGTCCTTCCTGCTTCCCTCCCCTGCTCCCTCCCTCCCGTTCTTTTCTCTGAAGGCCTCCCTGTATATTTCCTAAAAACGAGGAACTCTTACATAACCACAGTATAATCACCACAGTCAGAAAACTAACACTGAAACAATACCACGTCTAATCTACAGACCTTGCTGAGATACTCTCTGCCCCCCCAACACTATCTTTAGAGCAAAAGAAACCCCAAGATCCTGTGCTACGTTCCGCTTTTATGTTTCTCTGGTCTCCAGTTATTTCGCTCCCCAGTTTGGGTTGTCTGATGCTTCCTGGGACTAGGTTTGGGTAGTGCACGTGTGGCAGGGACACACCAGGCTGAGGCCGCGCTCCGGCCAGTGGCCACCGGGGCACCTGCCAGGTTCTCCACGGCAGGTTACCATCCTCTGTTCCCTAACGAAGAAGTACTTGTGGGGATTACTCTGAGACTACACCAATATCCTCTTACTGCTCAAACTCAAATGCCCTGGTTTTAATCCATTAATGATTCTTCCTTGAGCTGGTTATCAGGATAGTTGATAAGCAGTGATTTTTCCAATTCAATCTGCCTTTTTTTTTTTATCCTCACACGAGGACACTTCCACTTTTTTTTCAGATGGAGTGGGAGGGACAGAGAGGAAGAGAGAGAGAGAGAGAAACATTGACGTGAAAGGGACACATCAAGTGGCTGCCACCGCACAACCCAACCAGGGCCGGGGACAAACTGCAACCAAGGTACATGCCCTTAGCGGGAACCAAACCCAGGTCTCTCCGGACCACAGGCTGATGCTCTAACCGCTGAGCCAAACTGGGCAGGGCTGCCTTTTTGTTTTCAAAGCTGGTTTTCTAATATAAAGAAGTGCTTTACCCCTGCCTCTGCCCCAACTTCTCTATCCATTAATCTATACCAGTATGGTCTCATGGGCTCTTACCCTACTCAAGATGTCAGAAGTCGTTTGCTATTGTTTATTTTGATGCTCAGAGTCCCTGCTTTGCTCAGGGGGAGCATGTCAGGCAGGCCCCTGTGACCTCCTGACCCGTCCCCATCATTCTCTAAGCCCCTCTCGCCACAGGCCGTTCTTCCCCTGCCCCAGCCCTGGGATCAGCCACTTCTCCAAAAACTCTGGGTTTCTTCTAGTTGCCCCACTTCTTTGTGATGAAAAAGCAAGTGTGGACAGGTGAAACGTCTGTGTGAGACCCCAGACTGAAAACACAGCTGCTGGGCTGTCAGCGCTGCATGAGTGCCGCCTCCCTGCCACCTCCCTGCCACCGCGTCCCTGACTGCCACCCACAGCACGTGGGGCTAGGCTCACTCTCCCCAAACACTGGATGGGGTTCAAACACAGACCGCGCCCGAGTTCTCCCAGGCCTTGTCCGCACGCCACACCAGCGCCCAGCTGTGAGCACACTGCACTTCGTGTTTTACCAGGAAACGGCACACTGACGTTATTGCCACTTCCCTCCGGCCGGCATTATTCAGCTTTTAATGTCCTCCTTACAATAAAAGGTCTCTCCAACCAAACTAGGACCCTCCTTACACAATGGGAACGTGAACACATCTCAACTGCCAATTGTTTTTCTCTGCACTTCCCTCCCCACATACGGCCCGCTCCCAATCCACTCGATCCTGTTCCTACCTGCCAAATCTCACATTTGCTGAATTAAAGAGTTAAAACAAATTTAATAGTAAAAAATTTTGAAAACAACAACACCTGGAAGTAAGGAAATAAATTGTGGGAGCTTGTTCAGAGCAGATGTATTTTCCTTTGCCTTTTCATAGACCACCTACCCCTCCAGGGTTTAATTTTTTTTTTTAAGAAATAATAAACACAACCAGCTGGTTTCTATAGTAAGAACTTGCTAGAATATATTGATAACCAGTTAAGAGAGTCCACCCTAGGTAAGCGGCAGAACAGGGTCGTCTCCTTCCATCTCCTCAGTGCCCACTAGAGGGAGCAGTCAGGAGCAGAACCGGCTCTGGCTGGGCTGTGGGGGCACAGTCGGGCCCCCAACACCACCAGGGCAGCCCTGAGCAAGCTGCCCCCTTCCTGCCGGCTCCCTCCTCATGGGGCTGCTGGGGCCACTATTCAAGCCTGGCACAAGGGGGACACTTGGTGAGGGTTAGCTATGCTTCTCCAGCTTGGCACACAGTGAGTTTGAGGTAACTATTTCCTGAAAGAATGAGTGGAATGCTCATAATTATTAAATTTTAATCAACTGTAGCAATTCTAAGCAGCAGTTTTTGAAGTACTTATCTTTTTTTTAAAATATGTTTCTATTGATTTTTTTTTTTTTTTAGTGAGAGAGAAACATCGATATGAGATAGAAATATCTATTGGCTGCCTCCTGCATGCCCCACATTGGGGACTGAGTCTTCAACCGGGGCATGTGCCCTGTCTGGGAATCAAACGGGGACCTCTCAGTCCATGGAGCGACACTCAATCCCCTGAGCCACACCGGCCAGCCAGGCGGCACCTTTCTTTTTGTACCTCTCCCTACCCCTAATCTATCACCTCTGCTTCCACTGCCCAGGAATTTCTCAGTTTATCAGGGCCAACTCGGCAGCACTGGCAGTGGGCGACACACCTGCTTCCTGATCCAAGGAGTCAGAACCCAGGGGGTGGGGCCAGATCCGGCATGTCCCCAGGCTCCCCAGGTGGGTTGTGCCCACTAGAGGTGGTTATCTAAGAAGGTTCCGAAAGGCAGCTTCTGGGACAAGGGTGGTGGGCCAGGGGAGGAGAGGATTCCAGATTCTGTGGTTGAGAAGGCAGTGATGTCCCAAACCCAAACAGGCAATTTGAAAAGGAGCTGGTTGGGAATAAAGATGCCAAGAGCTCTTTCGTTCTTTTTTTTTATCCTCACCGGAGGACATTTTTACATTTATCTTGAGATAGAGCGGGAGGGAGAGAGGGAGAAAGAGAGAGAAACATCGATGTGAGAAAGACACATTGAGTGGTTTCCACCCACATAACCCCAATGGGGGCTGGGGACGAACCACAACCGAGGTACATGCCCTTAGCAGGAACTGAACCCAGGTTTCTCTGGACCACGGGCCAACGCTCTAACCACTGAGCCAAATCGGCCAGGGCTGGAGCTCTTTCTGATGAATGGTGCACAGGTGGGGTAGACAGGAGAAATGTTAACCATGGCTGGCCCTCAAGAGAAGGGACAGAGCTGGAATATAGGACAGTAACTATTTACTGCCCTTATGATGTTCCCAGAACCCCTCCTATGTGCCAGTCCTTCCTGTTTGTGCCAGATGCTTGGGTACAGGAAAGAAGAAGACAGTCCTCATTCTTCCTGAGCATGCAGTCTGCAGGGGGCAGACAGGATGGCACACAGGTAACAACCCCAGTGTGACAAAAAAAGGTGGTTAACGAAGGTGGCAGGAAGCTGACTCTGCTGCAGGTGTGGCCACCAGAGATGTCCCAGGAGCCTGGTTTTGAAGGATGCATAGGGAAAGGTAGGCGGACGCTAGTCTGAATATCTATTTTTGTTTGTTCAGTTAAAGGGAAGAGAATGACCTAATCCATGGGGGTGTTCTGAGGTTTAAATGGGAAAGCAAATTGTCTGAAGGCTAAGAATTAGAAATATAGAGTTGAGGGACTAGGGGCCAGAGACTAGAAAGCCAGAAAGAATTTAACAGAGAGGAGAGAAAGCTTTTGAAATGGAAGGGTCCTAAAAACGAGAGCGCGTGTTCAGGATAGGAGAGTGAAAAGAGGAGGTTATGGACAAGGAGAGGGTTTTTTCCTGATTTCTTTTGATATAATTATAGTGTATGCCCACTGAAAATAATCAGAAAATAGAAACATATGACCACTTACAGTTCTGCTTAGCCTGACCTCTTTTATTTTGTTTTTTAAATCCTCACCTGAGGTTATTTTCCCATTTATCTTCAGA